GGGGGGGGGGGTCTGGCCTGTATTTGTCCCCACAACTCAGCTGAAAATATCCTTAAGACTCTCTGTCAAATCAAGTCTCTCCCTCTACTCTTTTTTCTCAGAGACTTCTCTGAAGACCATGTCCGAGCTGGCATCTTTTGCCCTTATGTCCCTTCCAAGGTCCAAAGGGTGTTCTCTACAATTACCTGCTAGCCATTCACACTTAGATTTTCCTTCAGTAGCATAAACTCGAGATGTTTAAAAGCAGTCCTTCACTTTTGCTTCTGTTCTACTTGTCAGCCCTTGGCTAATGTCACCACCTGCAACGTGAACTTTTGGTTGTCTAGATTCCCTAATGTTTAATTATGTGACATGTCCCATCGATCCAGCCTCTACAATGTGTCCCATTCATTCCTTTCCATTTCATTATTTATCCCACCAGCTGAATACACATTCTATCTCCCACCCAGGTTTTTGAATTAGTCACCTCACTGGCCTCCCTTCCTCCATGCCACTCATCTTCCAATCTTCCCTTTGTGTGGTTCCAGAAGGGTCTTTCCAGCTCATAGTTTCCCTGTGGGCCCACGTAGTCTACTAAACCAAGCATATATTTTCCAGCCTGGCATTTTAGATTTTGTTTCAGTGTGAACTCAGTTTAACTTCACAGGCATACCTACCATAGCTCTAATTAATTATTCATGAAAACATTTACTAGCACCCACTCAATGCCAAACAATGGGCGGGTCAGTAATAAAATGATGAGTGTAGTGGGTGTACTGGCAGGAATATGTTGTATCCGTAAGATGCACAGGGGATCAGAACTTATCAAGAGAGACTTAACCCGGTCAATTAAGTCTGGGAAAATGTCCCAGAGAAAACCATGCCTGTACAAAAAACAGGAAATTATTTTCGAATGCTGCAGAAAAACCAAGACAAACAAGACCCATTAAAAATGAAGTTGAAGTGTAAGTGAGGGAAAAAGCTGGTGCACTAGTTCACAGACTCACACACCTCTACTCTGTTCTTTAAACAGTAGCTCATTCCTACCTCAGGGACTTTGCACTTGTTTCTAATGATTTTGCTCATCAGGATCTCATGGCAGGCTCCTTCATGTTCTTCTCAAATTCACCTGCCCCTGACCACCTTATCTAAACTAGTCCCCAGTTTATCATTCTCTCTTACAACACCCTGTTTATGTGTTTGTGGGTAATCATCTTGCTTTTTCTTCATTTTACTTGTTTATTGACTGTCTTCTCCAGTAGAATGTAAAATTCAAAAGACCAGTCTACCCACTCTTGATCACATCACCTCTCCAACGCCTGACGCATGGTAGGTGCTCAATAAGTATTGCTAAATGAAAGCGAGTGATGAAAATAAATGTATATGAATAAGTGAAAAACAAAGAAAAATAAATGTGTGCATGGTGTTTATTGTTTTGAGTTAATAATTTTGCAGAAAGTTACATGCATTATATTCCTTTATAGGAAAATTCCCTTAAAATCCCTTCAAAGATGAAGCTGTTCCATGATGGTCACCAATTCTTTACTGAAGAAGAGGAATGTACTTTGTGGTTTGCATAATCTGAAGCTTATTTTTCAAAGTAAATTCCTGGAAATTTCCTTTGAAGCACATGCAAAAATCAGATGGACTAATAGATAGGTAGACGATAGGAATGAAATGAGGTAAGTTTTATAAAATGTTAATGTTGAATTTAGGTGATAGATACTCAGATGTTCACTGTAAGATTCTCTCCAACATCTCTATTTGTAAAATTCCATAAACACTGTTGGGAAAGAAAAAGTACCTGAATATATTCCTGCCATCATGAGGTTTTATATTCGATCTTTTATACTTTCTGCATCTTTAAAGTTGATGATTAGCATGGAAATAGTCAAGAGAGTCCTTTATAATGTCCTGATGAAACAACAAATGGTATACTTATATCTGGTATGATTTTCCTTTTTTTAAAGTTTATATATCTATTTATTTATTTATTGTGAGAGAGAGCACACATGTACGGGTGCACACGTGAGTGAGTGAGTGAGTGAGTGAGAGAATCCCAGGAGGCACCACACTGTCAGCACAGAGCCCAACACAAGGGTCGATGTCACAACCATAAGATCATGACCTGAGCCAAAATGAAGAGTCAGACGCTTAACTGACTGAGCCACTGAGGCGCCCCTGGTAGGATTTTCAACAGTGAGGCTTGTGCTGTCACCCAGTTAACCAGAGGTCGGCATAAGTAGAACCTCTGGCTCTCTGCTATCCCTCCAGCCTGAGATCTGGCGATTTTGGCTGGTCCCAGGGGATTTAACAGCCAAATGTGGAAAGTGCCTCAAGGGTGTTACTTGTCGCAACAGGAGAAATCATTTTCTGTCTTGTGACTCATAAGCTTCTCACTTGGTGAAAGGTGCCACTGTC